CCCCTAATCATTTTTGTTGCCCTCCGCTGGACTCTTTCCAATTTTTCCACATCCTTCGTGTAGTGTGGGGCCCAAAACTGGACACAATACTCCAGATGAGGCCTCACCAATGTCGAATAGAGGGGAACGATCACGTCCCTTGATCTGCTGGCAATGCCCCTACATATACATCCCAAAATGCCATTGGCCTTCTTGGCAACAAGGGCACATGGTTGACTCATATCCAGCTTCTCGTCCACTGTAACCCCTAGGTCCTTTTCTGCAGAACTGCTGCCGAGCCATTCGGTCCCTAGTCTGTTGCGGTGCATGGGATTCTTCCGTCCTAAGTGCAGGACTCATCCACTTGTCGAATGAACATTCTGCTTTTATTGGATTTCTCAGTGAGCTCATGCATCCCGTTTCAAAAGGTACATGCCACAAGGGAAAGCTTCACCCATGAAGAAGTGTGGTTGGCTGGTTTTGAGAAGACCACAACTTCCCTTGAGAGTCCATTCCACAGATTGATACACCTCACCACGAGGAACTTCCCCGGTCAACCAGCTATATTAAACTTTCCTTTCTTCCTATTACTATTTGTACTTCCATATATAGTCCTCCTCCCTCCATGGTAATCAGACCCCGCAAATATTTGTAGACTGCTCAGTCCTCATCACTTCACCAAGAGATCCATAATTAGCTCTTCTTCTCTCAAATTAATCCTCCCGCCCCCCTTCCCTTATCCCTCCCCCCCCCCCCCCTTTGTTGTAATTCTATGTTCTTGGCTGCATGCTGGGACACACTCAGGCTGTTCTGGGTCAGAAAGCAGAGATAGGGCCAGGAGCTCTGATCTGGTCACAGACCGCACAGCCGTGAGTTGAGTCACTGTTAGAGCTGGATGCTGCACTAGTGGCAGAGGTTGGGCAGGGCTGCTTTCAACAGACAGTTTATCTGGGGTGGTATATTGAAAACTCTTAAAAGTGTAGCTATCACTTTAAATTTTATGGAGACTTCCTGGTCCTGCTTGCAGGTTAGGGGGCTCTGTAGGAAGCCTGTGTTTTGTTACTTTAGCAGTCAGTCTGCAAAGAACCAGCTTAGAGCAAAGTGGGTGGGTTGTTCCTCTCTACCTTAAGGAGCAACCTGCTTTGTCTCTCTCTCTGCTTTGGGTTCTTGTGCGTTAGGGTTCTGCATTTTAAGATATACAGTCATTCTTTCTGGAATATTGCAACATAACATTTTTCCCCATCTAATTTCTCTGTTTGTATGCTGTGAACATAACAGCTTGTATGGCAGAGATGTAGAGCTATTCCTCCCCTTTTGTGCTGCTGTCCTATTAGGCCCTTAGTCCCACAGTCCCACACATTTTCGCTCTCATCACCTTCTTTATCTGTAGCCGTGGATCAATGTGGCCACTCAGCTGACTAGGTCTTCACCATGCACTGCTCCCTCACCTTTATTGCCAATGTCTCCCTGTCTAACGGTCTCTCAGCATCACTCACCTGCCCCTTCCTCCTCACGCTGGTTCCATCTCTCTCCATGTCTACCCCGCCTCATTCTCATGCCGGTCAGCTCAGGCACTGGTTCCTACTCTGTGTTCTCCCCTAGCGGGAGTCCATCCCACCAGTACCCTACCCTCGACTAAACCCCAACAACCACCTTTCCTCTTGCAGGAATCCCATGGCCATATCGACTTCCCCAACAATGAGTTTACATGCCTCCTCTAGCGCTGCCATTTTCCTGGCCCAGCACCTGTACTTCTCCATCCTCAGAGGCCTCCAGAGATCTCTCTACTCGGCTCCAACTCCCTGCGTAAACCTAGAGCTGGACAGGAATCTTCTGACAAAACACTTGTCAGAAAATGCCTGTTTACTGAAACCAAAATGTTGTAAGAAAACACTTCGGTTTCGCCAAACTGTGGCCAAACCGCAGGCTGAGTCCCAGCAAATTTCTCCCTCGTTTATGGTCACCTCCCCTGGGGGGAGGCCTGCTGCTCCAGGGCCAGGATGCCCCAGCTTGAACCGGGGCTCTTAAGGCCTAGGGTCTCTGCTCTGTGGCAGGGGCAGCTGGCTGCTGTTCCATAAAAATGAAATAAATGTAACCCCTTTGGGGTTGAGAGAGCATGGCCCCTTTAAATTTTTTTTCCTAGGGGAGAGGGGGAGCAGTAAGAGAAAAGAGGGAAACCCAGGGGCATGGCTCTGGAGCTAGGGAGAGAGAAGGGCTGCAGCCTGGAGACCCAGGATGAAGTGAAGCAGAAAGAACCTGCCTGGGAAGGACAGGGCCACCGGTGGGGGACACCCCAGGACAGGAGCCCGGAGCACTATGTCAGGGAGGAATCACCTAAGGAGGACAGGTCGGAGCTGGATCCAATATCACTGCTGCCCAGAGCTGCATGGGGCTGTGAGTACTGGGGCTTGTGACTGCACTGGGAATAAGGAGGGAGGCTGTAGCTAGTTAAGTGCGGGAGGTGATCGCTCTGTGTGGCTTGGCACAGAGTAGCAGAAGAGGGCACCGAAGAGGTTTGTTGGGGAAAGTTCACGGGCGCCAAAGACGACCAGGAGCACCCAAGACCTACCACTGAACTGGAACTTTGCTCAGGACTCCTGAACTGTGTGTGCAGACACACTGCTTAGTGTCTGCCCTTTCAGACTGTGCTACCACTGGGCCTGAGGGGCCTTGGTTTGGATGCAACCCTGTTCTACTGCTTCCCCTATACTTCCCCTGGTTGTTTTTCTCCTCTCATCCCTCTGTAAATAAATATTTCCCTTCGTTATACTTATTGTGCTTTTCCTGTGGGTGTGTGTGTTCACGCTGGGGGGTTTGAAACAGGTGCCCCTGGGGTGGAAGGGATTTTTCCTGCTGCATTCCTGCATGCGCCATGTCTTGGCCAGAGCTGCCTGCAGAGCAGACTCCATCTTGGTCACGAGGGCGCTAAAAAAAATGGTTGTTTTTTTTCCAAAGCAATTTTTGGGGGGAATTTCCTTTGCATGGGAAATTCTGACATTTCTAGTTTTTGTTCTGAATCTGAACAAAATAGTTTTTGAAATGTCAGATGTTTCCATTCAATGGAAATTCCAAGTTGACAAAAATCTACCTAATGCCCCCCAGCTCACCACCATCCCTCTAATTTTTCAAGTATAAAATGACCAAATTCCAACAGGTCCCTCCTACCTACAATCTTCTCTCCCACCTCCCGCCACAGGTAGATTCCTCTCTTTAAACCCACACACCCAATACTTCTCCAGGATTCAATATTATCCATCTACAACTAAAATTTGTCCATCCCTCATCACCATCAGCATGGGTTTAGAGTAGACTACTACTACTACTACCTCATCCTCTGCAGTCACGAACACTGCAATTTTGCTCCCATCCAGTCCATTAAAAATGCTGCTACTAAGATAATCTTCTTGGCTTGTCACCTCTTCTTTCTTTCCCCTTTCTCCATGGCATCACACCCAAATGGATAGTCTTCAGCTTTAGGGCCTTCCTGGCCAATCTCCTCCCTCTCAACAACACATGCCATTGAGCCACTGACTCCTACCTTTGCTCTGCCAATGCCACCAGACTTTTGTGACCTAAGTCCAATTTCTCCTTCTGTGCTTTTGCCCACACAGCCCCTATGATTGGGAAGCTGCCCCTAAAAATCTGCAAACCAATATATGCTCCTTTCAAATTCCACCATATTGCCTACGGAACCCTCTACAATGGCTCTGTAGCTGGCCAGCCAACACTTCTGTCTATGATGTTAATCACAGTGGTTTACCTTGTCCCTCCCAATCCCATTGGTTATATGCACCTGTTCCCTTGTCCTATGTATTGACTGAGCTCATTAGGGAAGGGACTCGTGTGTGCACAATGCTTAGCGCTCTCCATCGGAGCCTCTAGGTGCTATTGTAGCAAAGGTTTGGTTAGTAATTTGGTGTGTACTTGAGTTAGTGGGACAAAACCCTCAGCCTCATTGTTGAGCACCAATAAAAGAATGTCTTAGTGGAGGGGGCTGGACTGGATGACCTCTTGAGGGCCCTTCCAGCCCTACATTTCTATGATGTCCTGTGATCAGATGCAGCGAGGCCTACCTTCCTTCCCACTTACCATCCTAGAAACGAACACGCACTCGGCAACTCACTTCCTGGCCAATCTGACATCTTGGGAGCATGCTCTGAGAGGCTTAGCTCCCCTGATTGTGTGCAGCTCAGAAACAAACTGGAGGAAATACTCTGGGATTTTGGCTTTTGCAAGATGGTGGAGCTCAGGTTCATCATGGAAGGCTGGGGATGGGCTTTGGCTGTGAGGCCTGAATGTGGCTGTTGAGATGGAAGGGGTGACAAACAGCTAACAAATTAAGCATCTTCTGGATGATCTCTAAGGAACACTGTTTTCTGATGGTGAGGGTGGTGATGATGCGGAAGCTGTGTTGTCAAGAGACAGGGTCACGCACATTGTTCTCCACACTCCTTGCAGGAGAAGAGCTCAAGGATCACAATTGTTTCAACACAGGGGAAAGGGGATGGGATTGTGGTAATCCTGCTCTATCCTGGGGTGTGAAATATTGTTGAATAGCATCATGTGGGCACAAAAAAAAAGCCACTGATGTAAAGAAGCCAGCTCAAGTGCCGTTTGACCATCAAAAGAAATGCTTTGGTCTTGTCAACACAACTGGTAGCAGCAGTGGCTTCCCTGAGCCAGTGCTGAGAATGCTTTGGCTGCTAGCATAGGCAGTACCAGAAAGTCTCCAGCTCTGTCAAACCATCCCTGAGACTTGCTTCCACCCTGTCTCACTCTTACGTACTGTACTGGTGAAAAAGAAATTTTTCCCATCTACTCTAGCAGCTAAGCCGTTCCAAAGCATCAGTTCAAAGGATTGTCCGCTAGTAACAGATTTCCAAAGCTGGTTAACTTCCTAGTATAGACAGATCCAACCCAGGCATACAGCGCTACAAAATGCAGCCATTTCAATTCAGGCGAGGTCACCGGCACAGAAATGGACGGCTGCTCCCACCCAAAGGAGATGCCTGGGACGTGAGTGTGCTTTCATGTCCAGTTTTATTAGTGTTGCATTAGTACCATAAAATAGTCGATGAGGTTGCACACATTGCAGTTCGTTCCAAAAAAGGCTATTTACATTTAATTTGTCTTCATATAAAACCTAAAACCCAAACAAAACAACAATGAAACAGATGGACAACTTAGAAATCTACAGTGGTAACATCCCTTCATTTGACATTGTTACATGTGCAGCAAGCATTGCTCAGACTATCTCACACACGAGTGTACCCACACGAGCAAGGTGCTTCCTAAAGAGTGCTCTGAGTAAAGATGCACTGCATGCCAGTCAGACACACTAAGTTCTGGGATGCCTTCTATCTGGCTATACAGAAGGGGAAGCCAACCTGACCGGGATTTTGATGCGCTTCCTTTTAAAGGAATTAATGTCCTGCTACTTGCAAAACTATGGCTCCTCCTCCTCTCTAGCATCAAGTCCTAAAGACTCCACAGAAACCCAGGAGAGCTCATCACTCCAGCGCTCCCGCTTATCAGTCCTGTGACTTTGCAAGAAACTTGCCAAAGGAGCGTCATCAGGGTCTGCGGGAGATGCTGTGCTCAGATGATCACCTCTCACACTGGGCATCCCAGTGAGAAGGTCATACTAGAGTTTTAGCAAGTCTCCACAGTTCTAATGGCCAGGATACGGAAGTGCACTGAATGGAGGGTTTTTAATCATCTCAGCATCTCTAAGCAAACAATATGAAGAAAGAAAACACACCACGATGTTCCTACTGCCAAGAGCTTTCGGACTTTACATCCTGGGGATCTGAGCTGAAACAAAGCTTCCATCCGAAGTAAGAAGCCCCTGTCTTTTCAGTACTTCAAACTACAGGGAAAGAATACAGGCTCTCTATTGTCACCAAGATGTTTTGCTTACAAGGTTTCAAGGCATCTCGTACTATTTCTTGAACCCTCAAAATGAACGATTCTTAGAATATTTTCTTGGTACTAAACACGTGGCCAGACTGATCCGAGATGGTAGCGATAGCTAGCCCAAGACTAACAGGATATACAGGTCAACAAGAGTGTTTTAGAGACATTAATGGAACAATGCTGGTCAGTGTGGTTTTTAGCTGGGTCAACCGGCCTACAGGTGGGTATGGCGATTCTATACAAAACCACAAAAACTTCCCATTCTACTACTCCACCCTCAGATCTCCTCTCTAGGACATGACAACAAGGCTTGCCAATAAAAGCAGCAAAATGAAGCCAAGGGGAGGTTGAGAAGTATCCTCAAACTAAGGTAATAGAGGAATTTTATACTTACATTTGAGATATAAACTGCTCAATGGGGCTGTTGTTGGGTTGGGCAGAAAAACGTGACTGGATTATATGCAATTGATAACTGCAGGTGAAATTAATGGAAAGCCAGAGGTTAAATGAATACTGCTGCTCCAGCTGCTGTTTTCTTTAGGGCAAAGAAAAACAAATGCAATTCCAGCAAGCATTCAAAACTAGTAAGGATATTCCCTGGCTTGCCATGGTAGACGTCTGCATTTCATTTAGCCATGGAAGTGTAGAACCAGAGCTCCAGTACTTGGCCAGCCTACTAGGGATGCCTCCTTAGATCCCACCTCCAAGGAAGGGCTGGGGCCAGTTTCCCAAGAGAACACCAGTACAGGGGAATGGCAGCTTTGCCAACAGGAAAGTGCTGGAGTCACAGCTTGGGGCTCCATGGAGCAGTCAGTCAGTATCAAGGCCCGGGTCAGTGTGTAATGGGAATCAAACGGATCTGCTACTACAGTACATTCCTGCAGGAGGCAAGGAGATATCAGCAATCCCAACACAGGTGGGAAACGGGGGGGAAGTTTAAAGGTGACAAGGTGGCATGCAACCAGCTGAAAACTAGGCAGTCAGCTCTCTCCCCACCCCTCTGCCTGTTCACTGCTAGAAATCCAGGGGCCGAAGTAAAAGCGACTTCTAGATTTCCAGTTAAAGCAGGCTGATTCAGGCCAATGAGATAAAGCAAATGAGTTTCCTTCGAGTCACACTCTGGTGGAGGTTCGTGCAGGTCTCTTTTCATTATTCCATAAAGAGTTTTAAAACTGGGGCTGTGCAGGGTTTCTTGCTCCATTAGGGTCAGTCTTCTGCACTCATCACGGCGAAGGTGATCATCAGCCCCCTGATATCCTGATGGCCCCTTTCAGAGAACTGAAAGAACAAGAACTGGCACCTCCCCCCCCCCGGTCAGCTCTGCCACAGGGCGTACAATGGTAGAGTCATAGCAAGCTGGCACACAGCCCAATTCTTCAGAGTGACTTCCTGTGAACCCTGGAATTGGTGGTTGGTGGGAGAGCACCACGTGGGAGACCGGAGCTCAGCTCAGCTCACCCTGAGAGGAGGCTCCTGCCACTGCTTTATCAAAATCATTTCCTATGGAGCAGCACATTGTCTGCACAGCCCGACTGCTGTTATACTCTGTTACTGCAGAGCTTCAGCGCTCAGACTTCCAGAAAGTTTTCCTAGTGGTCAGGGACGAAGTTAGTTGTGTGAAGAAACTCAGAGAAAGTAACCACTGTATAAAACTTTAACAAACATTCCCAGGGAATCCAGCTCCAACCCTTGGCTATGAGGCAGGGCAGCACCATGACGAACCACCAAGAATGAAGCTTTCCCAAGATCAATGCAGTTCTGCCACCCTAAAAACTCCAGCCTGAGGGTTCAAGGAGGGTTTCCTTGGAAGCCTTGCTACAGCAGAGAGCCCACTGCAGATGGCTGTGCTGCCAAATAGCAGCTTGCCAGAGGTAACAAACTGTGCTGTCTGCAAGTGCATGGGTACCAAACAGGCAGAAAGTTTTCTGGTGAATTAGATTTCATAAAATGTAATTAAAATAAAGAACTAATCCACATGAAACGTTACACATAGTAAGAAAGGGGGCAACATACATTTGATAGGCAGGAGCCATGAAGTCGCATACTGGCTACTGTTCGTCTCTCTATAGTAGGTTGAAATACAAAGAGGAGCAAAGTGTCAAATCCTTCATTGCCCCGGTAAACAAAGTTATTGCAAATAGCCAGTCCAAGCCTGCCGCAGAGCTGCAGGGGCCATGAAAGTCAGGCAAGGGTCTCTGCCAGCGCTGGTGTAGAATAAGCCGTGGGACTGAAATCAGACTGGATTTCAGTCACTCTACTTGCACAGGGAAGAGGGATTTAAGGAAGAATCTGAACTGCTGACTTCATTAAAAGGCTTGTCCTGAGACAACAGCTTCAATAAAGAACACTGATGTGCTCGTGTGCTCATTCCTAAGTTGTGGCTGTCAAGCAACACTGCGCTAACCCAGAGCAAGGCACAAGCCTCCTTGCAAGATCCTATGCGTCAGCCGCCACTATGCTGAAGCTAGAGATTCTTTCTGCTCCTGTTACAAAGCGTTAAAGGGAAAACCTACCCTCTCCTCAGGGCTGCCATAAGCGAGTGAATAGATTACAGTAACCCCCACCAGCTGCATCAGCGTTCGTGTGCGGATCTGTGCGCTGACCTGCCCAGCTTCTCAGAGGAGTGCGCATTGCTGGGCTGCTGAGGACCCTGCCAGTCTGATGAGAGTCAATTCCTGGACATGGCTGAAATTGCACTAGAAAGTTTCTATCTTATTAAACACGTGTCTAAACCAGTAACCTGAGCAGTGAAGGGAAGGTGCAGGTACTGTTTGCTCTGCGGATACTCCTCTTCACTGTGAGGGGGAAGAAGGAGGCACTGTTCTCATTTAGGGCCCCGGGCACCCTCACTACCTCAGCAGGGCCGTTAGCTGAACACCCCCCCCCCAGCTGCCCACTGAAGTCCTGCCCAAGTCAACGAAACCCCTCCTGCAGGATGCGCCTTCCTGTGGCGTGACCCACACGCAAGGTGGAATAGGCTCCCCAGCCATTTGCAAATCTTTGTTCAGTCAGTCATTGTCCCAGAACATTTGAACTCTGAAAAATGCTTAATGTATTGCTGTCCCTTTGAGAGGGTGGGGGAAGGAGCCACTCTGGGGATCTCTGAACACAGGCCTGAGCAGTGCAAACGCCTGCCCATGAGACTGGAACCCCCAGGAGGCTCCCTTTATGCAGCTGCACCCTGCTCATTCCAAGGGTGGGGTGTTGGCTCCTCTGCAAAGAAAACAAGCTTAGCTCCTGAGCCCCTGGGTTTGGCAGCATCTGCATGGAGGCTCCTCCCTGGAGCTGTATTGCCAGGGGAGCCCCACAGATCCAGCCCTGGGACCCCCTGGAGGAGTAGAGCAGGGTTACAGGTAACTAAAGCTGTTAGGCTTTGCTGTAGTGTAATTCCTTGCAGGGTTGATGGGGGAGGATTTCTGGGCAAAGGCTCCACCCCTGGGAATTTCAGTCCACGTGCGGCTGCCACCAGTGTAGTGTGCACCATGCCTGGTAGAGGAGGGCTTCACTCAACTCCAGGGAGCTAAACCAGGTTAAGCCGGTGGTGAGAAGGATCAGAGCCTTGTTCCTCCAGTTAGAGCACCCTGATGCCCCTTCAGCAGAGCAAAGCTCTGTCCTAAGCTAGGGTAGGATTCCCAGCGAGGAGAGTTACCGCAGTAGCTCCTACACCACCCACACACGCAGCTGCAAATGTGAATGGGAGCCAGGGGCTCCAGTAGCTGAGCTCCTTTGGCTCCAGAGATCCCCTGCTGCTGACACAGCCCTGTAGGGCTACTGACATTGTAAATCAGAGCAACCTTCAGGCTGCTTTAGTATACCCTGGGAATGGGCTAGCACTGTGATATTTTAAGGGAAGGGGAAAGGAGAACATACCTAGGTTACAGCTTCCCCCTCGTGAGCTGCAGTAGTGCTCAGGCTGTAGTGGCCAGTGCATTTCACACAGGCACTGGCTGGTTTTGCACAGTAAATCCTTAATCCCTGAATGGTGGGTTCTGCTAGCTGCAAGCTTGTATCCTGCTGGAGTACCTCCTTTCCCATGGAGAGAAGCCCACAGGAAGTACAGGGGCACTGATTGACTCCTCCACCCTCATTTTCTGTGGCAGGCCCCTCAGCCCCTTGCAGGATGGATCCTAAGCCGGCACGTGGCCCAACTGGCTAACGGTGCATTGTGCAACACAGGTGCACTGCTGGAGTCAAAGATCTAGAATAGCTGAGAGAACCCTCAGGTGACACAATCCGGGCATGAGGCATTCCAACGCAGTCCAGACAAGCCTAAGTTCTCTGTCTCTGCTGTCAGAGCTGGCTTTGCTACATGGCCTCCTGCCTTGGAAATGGCAGCAGCAGCTCACATGGCTGGAGGGGGCCCCTAAACAAGGGATTCCCATCTGGAGTGTGTGTGTGTGTGAGGAATCTTGTACACACTGCCTAGAAGAGAGGGCACATTCGGAATGAGGTATGCAGGTGGCGCGTTTGCTGTGAGCTGGTACTTTAAGTGCTTTCACATGCACATGTGCTTTTGCTGTGTGGGTGTGAATGTAGCTGGTGTAAAATGCAGCTGCTCATGTGTAAGGGCTCAAGGGGCACAGGAACTAGCCAGTGGACTAATGCTTGACTCATTAGACAGCAGCTGATCTTTCCTGCTGTCCTTTTTAGCAACTTAATCAATCTTTTTTAAAAGCATTAAAAATATTTGCACCTGTAAAAATCCATTCTCATGAGAGGCCGGGCAAGGTTTTATTGATGTGCATAATCTGTGTGAAAAACTAAATAACAACCACCCCACTGAACTGGTGTCCTTCAAATCCAGCTACGGGCTGCAGGGGGCATTGTGATGGGCTTGGTTGGGTTATTGGGATGGACTTGGAGCAATGGGATTCCTCAAACAGACATTTCATACTTTGTATTTCAGTCTCTGCCCAACCTGAATCAGGCACGAGTGTGAACATGCCTGCCCATTTCAGTTGCTGGCCTTAAAACAATGACCCTCTGGCATTTCTTCACTTGTGGAGAATCCCAGGGTTTCCCTCAGTTATTAGCTTGGTTTTTGACAGACAGCGCAATGTATTTCACATTCTTGGTACCTGAACTATTTGGTGGTGAACCAGGCTCTACTTTCTTAATGTGAAGTCTGGGGGGGTAGAGTTAAACATTTTAAAACACTTAATCCTCCCAGTACCTCCCACTCTCCCCTCAAAAACCACTCAAGCCCAATCCAGAACACCCAGCCACAAACACACCGAGGAGGTTTCAGGTTAATAAGCAGTGCAGTTATCCAGCTATCTGCTCTTAAGTTCTCCAGCAGGTCACCCCACTTCTGGAGGTTCTCCTGGTAATTTCCATGTTATTGGTACATCTCTACTTAAGACTGTTTTTTGCTTTGTTCAAGGGGTTTCCTTTCCTTGTAGTAAACTTAAGAATTAATAGAAAAAAGTAATTCAGAAGTAATCCAGATGCATCTATAAGTAATCTGCAGGAGAGAGCAAGCAGATTTGAGTCAGAGTTGGCATTCAGATTCCTGGCTCCTGGGTGTGCAGTCTCCACACAGGCAGAAAGCCGCCCCGCTGAAAGCAGTTAGAAGTTAGGTTTGGAGTGTCCGAATATGCAGATGGGAAAGTGCTTGACATGGGAGGACCACTGTGCTGCCAGCTGAAAGAACTTCACATCATTCCACTCTACGCCATCAATCAGGACTGCAGGGGAAGAATAGAACAAGGAAGCAGGTCAAAAAGCACCCAGCAAAACACACACTGGAGAATCCCTATGCCAGAATTCTATGCCATCACATCATCCTTCCTCAGTCAGTACAGGAAACAGATGCTGCACTGACAGCTACATAGTAGAAAAATTAGGAAGACGGCCCAGTCAATTCTTCTGCTGCCCTGAAGATCAAATGAAAATGGCTCAGCAGCTGGGTTGGGAAAAGATGCCAGTCGTCTCCCTGCCCACCCCCAACAGTGGGAAATTATTGTTGACTGCCTGCATGCATTATGGAGAAATTCTCTTCCTCTCAAACATCATGTAGAGGCCACAACCAGAGCAAACAAGATGGACCACTGGTTTGTTCCAGAATCAACACTTATAACCCAGAAGAGTTGAGAACAGTAGTTCTCAACCAGTTCCCAACAGTGAACCCATGTTACAAGATAAAACTTCTGGGACTCCTCTCCCACCTAGCTACAAAGGAAAAAGAGGGCTGTCATGCCCTCCGAGACCTGTTTGTAACTCCCAGATTGAGAACCTAAGGTTTAGTGGCTGGCTGGCTCTATGCCATGTGTGGATTTCCCCATGACGGGAGAATCCTCCTGCAGCCAGATCCACCAGGTTCAAGTCTGCTTTGTGTCACAGACCAGCACGTCCTGGTCAAGCACTGAGATGGCTGGCTTACAGGCACTAGAGCCATCATTAGCAATAAAATGCTCCCTTTTACTACTGGAAATGATGCAATAATTCAGCACTTACCCCGCAGCATATTCTGCTGATGTTTTGCTGTGCAAATCAATCTACTAATTCCTTCAATGCATTGACTCTTAGACTCAATCTCCTTGTCTTTTGTTTTCTTGGGCAAAAACATCACTAGAAGAAAATCAAACCAAACATGCTTGATCTCTACCAGCCACAAGAAGTTATACTGAAAGAATTAAGTAAAAATACACTGAAGTCTGAACTTTCCTCTTTGCCAGGAGTTTGAATGGCCAGGTACTCCCCCTGCCCATGCTTATTAACATTTCCAGTTCACAGAATTACTTACCAAGCATCGCCACCTTACAAAGTGGGCCGTATTAATTGGACCTTTTTAGAGCCCCAAAGTAATTCATATTGCCTCTGAAAGTCTTCGTTGCTATAAGTCTCCCCTTCATCCCCCTAGGGCAATTCCCCTGCTGGGAAAATATCCAGTCTATTAAGACAAAGCTCCACCCTTGTGCACTGCAAGCTTTGGTGGTTGGCTCAAATGATATAAAATCTGCTGTGCTCCCATGGAGATTCTTGCTTATTGCAAGAGGTTTCTAGAGCAGAAAGCCCCAGATATTATCCTCACTTGCAGCTGAATGTGGCAACTAGTGCATATTCACTACACAAACACCAGGTCAACAGCTACTCAAAGGGACAGCCGAGATAAGGGAGCTCCTGCAAAGAATGGAACTGGGCAGGGAGGGGAAAGGTTAGGAAGCTTTTCTGAAAAAAGGTACCAAGGTCTCAGGATCCATCTGAATTAAGAATCTGAAATTAACAATCTGGCTCCAGGAAAATTGTTTCCAAACTGGGGATGAACACCCTAGACACCCCAGCCTGAGTGATGTGGCATCTGCTCAGCATTAACTCTGGCCCAACACTGCAATGGGGCACCCATGCAGGGCTCATTGCAAGAATAGATCCCCTCGAGGGAAAAAGTTACCAGCTATTGAAAAGCCAAAGCCATTTGCTGCAACACAGCACATTTTCAAACCAAGTGCTGACTAGCACAATTCGACAAAGTGCTGGAGACTTGATGTGTTCACAGTCCATTGCAATATGGCAGTTGCTATCTCCTCAGCTCTTGGAGAATTATTTTTTCAGGCCCATGCGCAGGGCCAGTGGAGAGCTGTTGTAGAAGACTCCTGAAGGAAAAGGAATTCTAGAAGTGCCTCTCACTGGTAACAGATTTCCCAGAAAGTGTAATTTCCTGGCTTTCCAGTATTTGGGTCCCCCCCCACGTCTAAACTTCAAACATTGTTCGGCTCCCCAACAATCCTCCTCCTTTTTGAAATATTCCTGTGTTTACAGCCTTACAGGGAACAGGAAGAAGACTGAGCTCCTAGGTTGGAAAGGTGGTTCTGGTCATACTTGGAGAATGGAGTTTAAACTTTAGGTGGGGCACACGTGAACTGGGAGGCTGCCCTTTGAAACCTGCTGGTCTGATTAATCTGGGTCAGAGCTCATCTCTGCGGCCTGCACTCTGTCAGGGACCTGGGAGGATCCTAGTGATAAACACAGAGCCCTTCCTCCCCCCTTACACCAGTAGCTGAAGTAGATCCGTACGTATGGGAGGATACTGCTGTGGCTGACTGCATTCTTGAGGTTAACAGCCTTTTAATAGGCACCGATAGCCTTTTGTCAGTATCCCTTGCTGTGTGGTTTAGCTTGGAAGGATGGAGATGTATGATCAATCCTCAGTGGAGTCAGTAGTTTCACTGGGCCATGTTCTTGTTCCTGTTATTTCCAACATCCACATCCTCTCTGGTGCAATCGGAGTCCCTGATGCCTCTAGACCCCGATCCGCAGTAGCACTCTTGGCAGGGGAGCATTTCAGCAGTCTCACATCAGGGGTCCTGAAATAGGATCTCCTTGTCTAGTTGTTTGCTGCAGGGCGAATAGCTCTCCTTGGTGTTTCCATGGTGCACACTACACCCAAGCTGTACACCTCTCATTCTCCATTCACTCTTTTGCTCCATCTCTTCTGTCGAGCCCCTCGCTTAGGTGCTTGGTGCCCCGTGTATGCACAGGTGCTTTTCAGACCAACTGAGCAGTCGTCTGGCCTTTGGTGTGTTGCTTCTTGTCTTCTCTTGCTGTTTCTATAAGGTCAATGTCGCCGGTTGGATTATCACATGCGATCCTCAGAATGGGGGATACACCTACGAGATCAATCCTCAGCCGGTTGATGTTGTTCCTGACTTCAACTTGTGAATGGAAATTCCTGGCCCCAAGCCTGCCAGGCTGCCATCAGCCTTAATGACTATCTGGGGTAGGCGTTCCCCCCTCAATCACCAGAGTGAGTTTATCTTTTGTGGCATTTCCATCAGCCTGGTCCCCTCCTAGCTTTAGAGTGAGACCATTTCTTGCTCATGTTTGAGTGTGAAGGGTCCTAGTGATCCATCCTGAATCTAAGTTTCTAACACCCATGAAAGATCTCCAAACAGCTGAGTATCAGCCTAACAGTTTGGGGAGACTGTGCACTGCCCGGTCTTTTGCTGCTTGTATGAATGACCAGGTCTCCTCCCACCTTTCTGAATCACGTCTCTACTCATACCTAAATACTCTCCCAGGTGAGCTGGCAGCATCTTTATCACTGCCTCTGTGGCCTCCTCCAATTCCCTCTTGGTTCTGGCCTTGATGAGAATGTCATCTACACAGAGAAACAAATGCATGCCCCCTGGCCTGGAGCTGTCCCACCAGGATCTCCATATTTTGTGAAGACTGGAAGCAAAGGAGAGCATTGCTCCATCACAAATGCAGCACAGGAATCTCTGGCAGGTGCTGCACGTGGCTTTGGTCAGGTCTCCTGATGCCCTGAATTTCCTGGGCAGCATTCCTGCTGCTATGGCATGCTACGTCACCATGTGGAACAGTGTGCTTTCTATGCTCGGAGAGTATTTCTGGCCCAGCACTGCCCACAGACCCTCTGATTTCTTGTGGATGATTAAGATGGAATACTGTCCTTGAGAACTCTTCTGAGAAAGAGTCTGCTGTCGCTGTATGTCAGACACAGAGTGAATCTTGAGGTTACGTTGGTATCGGTTTCAAGGGGTGTTGTGCAAGGACAGTTTTCAGTACCCACTCGTCTCATAAGGCGTGTTCTCTCCTGGTGTGGAAGATGGTGAGCCTGCCACCAATTGCTTGTCTCTGTTCCTCCTTGGGCAATGCTGGTGTTGCCTGGAAGAGGGAAAGGAGGGGTTGACGTCCTGTTATACTTTTCATCCTCTGCTGAAAGTGTGGTTTCCTCCAGTCAATCTGAGTCCCTTCTGCGGGACTGGTGAAGGGGGGCTTCAAGGTCAATTATGTGCATTGTCCAAATTCTTTTTGAAGCTGGAGAAAAAGTTGTGGGGCATCTTTTCCCCTGCAGTGCACAACTGCATTCCCCCCCCCCTTTTTTTTTTTTTAGGGGGCAGTGGGTCTCCGCTAAACCCAGGAGCTGCTGAGCCAGAGTCTCCAGACCACATATGTAGCCCCAGGCTGTGCCTGAAAACAGAACAGCTGCCATTGCCCTTGTTGGGCTGTCTGATGGTGCCTGCTGATACGTCTGCAGTGAAAGACGTGGCAGGGACACTGAGTGATCAGAAACTGTTGATGACATCTGGAGGCCAATCCTCTTGGTGCCTGTGCCATAACAGATTGTCCTGGAGTGAGAGATAGAGGCCCAAGAAGCCTGGGGTGCCCATAAGACAGTCTGAGGGCATCCTCTACTTTCAAGGGGAAAGGGGAAAGAGACCCCTCTCTCCACCACATTCGTGTCAGAGGTGAATCACCACGATGATCTCTGAGGTGTGGCGAGTGGTTTACTCAACAGTGCTCCATACGGGGATGCTCCAGCCTGAATGATCTTTTCTGCAGCCACGTTCAATGGCACGCCGTGCCCTTTGGGGAGTGGTGGGGGAAATCCATCTTAGACACAGATTGCGCCTCTTCCTCTCTGCCTGGAGTCCCAGGGCTGCAACTGCCCTCTGAGGCATAGGGGTAAATGCTCGGGGGTGGAGGGAAGGAGTGCACACATTAGATACCTCATGTTTTGACTCATCTGCCCCACCAGGGCAAGTCAACAGCGCACAGGGACCTGCCTGGGAAGGAGAAAGGGATGTGCGCTTCCTTCTGGCTGGATTTGATTTCTGTCCTGTGTAGCTGTCTTCTGAGAGGCCAGTGAAGAGATGGAAGAGGATGAGTCTCTTTGTTGTTTGAAACAGGACCCAGCTCTCTGCCTGGGTTGTGACCTGCTCCCAACCCCCTCTGGGGTGGGAAGGGCTACATGCTTTGGCGTCTTGGCACCAAGTTTCTTCAGGGAGGAGATGGTACCCACCCAGAGTTCTCCCACTGCTACTCCCCTGAGGTACACCACCCAGCTGAGCACCCCTTGATCTACTCTTCATTTGGGTAAGTCCAACTCTTTGCTGCTGAGCCAGTATGCCAGGGGGCTCCATACCCTCACATGGGCAGGTTTCCTTCCAGTGGAGGGGTTGGCTGGCCTCCATCAGTTCCCTGCTTGTCTCCCCTTGCTGTTTAGAGTCTATCAAGGTGATGTCTGATCTGATAGCGTGCCATCCTCAGCATAGGGGGACGTGTCTGGGAGGTCAGTCCTCAGTGCCGAGAGTCCAGCCAGCTCATGCTGTCCTGGCTTCCATTTGAATGGACATTCAGAACATAGCACTTGTTCAGGAATGGTCCCACTCCTGGTTTCTCCCCTAGGGGAGCAGTGAACCTCTCACATCTATTAGTGTATTCTCTAGGGCTGGCCCAAGTTTTGTGGAAGGTTGCACTGAGGCTGTTTTGACTCACCCTGCTGGGAATGAGCATATTGCTCTCCTCCTCAGACTCGTTCTCACAGACAGTCATGCTATGGTCCCTCCTTGTCCAAGGGGAAGGAGACAGAAAAGCCCATGTCACCACGGCTTTGGCACTCAGGTGGCCAGCTGCCTGCCAGAACTCTCTGCTCTGGGAATGAGGGAAGTGGGAGACCTGGCACCTCCATGGATCTTCCTGGTTGCCTGGTCCTTGTCTGAGTGGGGGACAGGTATGTTCTGCATTGAGCTGGGAAATGGGGGGAGGTAGGCAGAGGCCTTCTAACAGCTTGAAGGATCATGGGCTGGCTGGTAGCACCATACTGGGACACAGGGGAGTTGCAAAGGAAAAAAGGAAGAGAGGCTCAGAAGACACAAGAACTGTAGCAAGTTCTCTGCGTTGCTCCTCCCACTCCACATTTTGGTGGTGGGTTTCCAGCAGGTAGGTCCTTATGAGAGAAGATTGGACTGAAGCCTGTAGGTGTGAGGATACCTTCAATTGGGGAGGTGGGGGTGCTGTGACATACTCTCCCTTGAGTACTAGCAGCACAACTGCTGTACCCTCTTATCCAGCCCCACCCTTCTCTTCTCCACATTCTTCTCACACCTTCCCATTCTTACCCTCCCTCCACTACCCATACCCTGCCGTATGACCACCACCTCCCCATCCTCCTTCGCCTCCAACCCTTTCTCCCAACAAATGAACAGTAGGAATCCAAAGGCTTGTCTACACGAGGAAACAGCCCTGAATGACTATTCCGCACTAGCTCCTTGGGTGGATGCTTATATAGTAAACTAAGATTACCTTTAACTTAATCCACTTCCAATTAATCCATCGCTTTAAATTCACACCATATCTTATTTCACAATAGATTCCCTGTGTAAACCAGCTGTAAGGGTCTGTTAATCACTGCTGTGAAATCATCTAACAAGGGTACAGGATGATACTGAGTCCAACACAAGGGCTAGATAGTTGTATGACCGTTAATACATCTCTACCTGCAATAATGAACAGAGGAATTCAATCTCATGCTTCAGGCCTTCAACTGATGCCCAGCAATTGTCACAATCGTATAGCTGGCTAGGTGCATGAGGGGTATCTTCACCCTAAACGTCAAGTATTAGCCATCTTTAGGCCACAGACATCCATTATGGCAAAATTTGTGCACCCATGCCTGGAAAAAGTTTTCTACAAGTCTAAAGCTAATGGAGCAAAGGTGCATGGAGTTCTTTAAGAAATGGCGCTGCAGCAGAAAGGGCAAGATATTGTTTTAATGAATGCTTGGGTTTGATAAGGAAAAAGCAAAATAACCCCACCCTAAAAAACCCAGCCAAAGTCCACCCGTGAGATTGGGTGGCTCATGATTTGTTGTGTGTTCAATTATTCAGTGGCCTTGGCTTACCTCATGGTACAGCAACCAGCTTTTATTTCACAGGGGCAAAGGCGGATCAGGAGACCTACCCAATGTGGTGTGATTTGCTGGCACCAAACACAGCAACACGGGGAGTCACTCCCCAAAACACAAAAATAAGGTTGCTTCTAGGGCCACAAGCCAGCAGGCCTAACAATGGCATTTCAGGGCCGAGGAGCAAGTTCTATTGTTAAGACATCACACAGTGAACCCGGGCAGACCTGGAAAGCCAGGACAAGTACAACCGTCCACCTTTTACACGTCAGCAACACCCGATAGAACAGCAAGTTGAATCCCCTCCCGCTCTTACCCTTTTTGTTCTTTTCCTTTGTCACGACTGTCATTGACATTGTTGGAGTGCTGGTGGTCTCTCCACTAGTGGGTAACCTGCTGACCTGGAGAGACCGGAAAGTGCATTTGAGTGTGTTTTTGGCAGCGGAAGAGTCCTTCTTCTCTGGGTCTCTTTTCTTCTCCACGGGCTGAGCTGCAATCCAGTAATCCACCTGCAGTCCCATCAGCTCAGCACCAAGGCTCTGGCTAAAAGATGGGAGCAAAGAATCATTTCCACATGCTGACTGTCATTTTGATGGAAATTTTGTCAATCAAGGGCCCATCATTTTCACAAGTGACTAGGGATGCTGGCTACCCAACCTGAGACTCCTTAAGGTGGCCAGATTTTCAGAGGGCGAGTGCTCAGCTTCTTTGGCAAGTCACACCCCTCGGACATCTCTCAGAATGGGCACCTGAGAACGGTAAGCACCCAGAAACAACTAGCCACTTATCAAAGGGTAGATCAAGGAGGTTAGGATCTTTTCATGAAAGACAATTGTCAAGGAAGCTCCATTACGTGGCACATGAGCCAGGGACCACTGTTACTAATTACATTTAATCAGGCAACTTCTAATGAATTCCTTTTCCTTTGTTTTAATTGCAATCCTGAGAATAACTATCGGACTGTTCTTCAGAAAGAACAGCCAGTTACTTTTTTGGGTGACTGCACTGTAAATCAGTCTGGCTAGAGTCACATCTGCTGTGTAGCTCACAAAGTCCAACCCATGGAAAAGGAATTTCCTGTCTTGGTAGTTCACTACCTCAATACAATCCTGAGCTTGACAATCACTTTCCCTTGTGGGCTACCAAAGTCAGACCTTGGCTGCCATCAGGACATGGTGCAAAACTCACTCCAGCTTAGTATTTTAGGCACACAGGGGGACTTAGTTACAAAAGATAAGTCTGTTAATTGGTTGAGAAATTGCCAGTGGGTGGAGCAAATGAATAAAACACGGTCTACCGTGGTGGCCATATCAGTCGATCACAGGAAAGGCTATGCAGAATGCACTGACTCTGTGGAGAAAACTGTCTCACAACTTTTTCACCAGTGGATGTTTGTTCTGTGGCTTGGCTCTCCAGAGTGGACACATGTGCGGGCCCATCCTGCTGACATCAGGCAGGCAGTGAAGAACATATCAGGAGCAAGAAATTTGGCACCAATCATGCCCTCATTCAGACACTCTGAGCCTTTAGGCTTCTCAGCCAATAGCTGCTAAAACCCATCAACTAAATCTGCTTAGCCTAGGCTACACGAGTCACTTCACCCATTTCCTCAGCCCCAGGGGCTACCTAGGAGGAAATTGTCGCAGGGGAGCAAAGTCACATAAACCCAGTTGGCAGTGGAAGAAAGTTTGTGGCTTAGCTCCCTAGTGCTGAAAATGGCCCAAGGAGGGAGCAGGAAACTCGCAAGCTGAGGTGACAGGTGCAGTGGGGCAGGCTGGGGAGAGGAAGGAAGGAGTACTCCCCACCGAGGTGACACCTTGGAAAATGGTCTTAAAGTTGGGGCACTCTGTGCCAACTCCTCAGACCCCAATGCAGACAGATCCAGCTGATAGTGCTTGGTGAAAATGTGGGCCTAGATGGCTGCTCTGCAGACCTAGCTACAGAGTCGTCTCCCCAGTCAGTCCATGGACCTCCTGGAACAGGCTTTAAGTTGGGTTGAGCAGGCTGGCTAAGGTAGAGGCCAGCCAGAAGCAGGAACATATTTAGTGTGAAAAGATGGCCAAAGAGGACCATCATGGAACAAAAGGATTTTCTCAGCCTCTGCATGAAGTAGGTGGCAGCCCTTGCTGAGGTATCTGAGGGACAGAAAGGCTAGTCAGACGGCAAGCCAGGATGAGAGTGTACAGTGCATCAGCCTGCCGTGCAGTAACCTCCCATGCGGACATGGCTACAACATACTGAGAGTCCCAGCATTCAGGTAGATTCACACCCTGGCGCAGTAACTCATTGGGCAGACAAGCACTATCTTCCTCTCTTCAAGGAGTATCCTGAAACTAGAAGTCTCAGTCTAATTCGGCATGAGACTCATGGGGACCACAGTACCTTACCAGGATCTGGCTCCATAGGCTCAGCCCCAAGCAGCGTTTACAGCGAGGTGCAGTTACACTTGGAGTAGCACATTGCAAGTGCAGCATTAACAAAGTGGACCGGGGCGACCTTGTCTTAGGGGCCCTTCTTTCACATCAGTAACCTGCATTCTCCTCCTTCATGGGGGGTAATCTCCAGAGGCTGGGTCATACCAGAGGTGGGAGAAACTCTCCTTGCGTAGCAGACACAAGGCTTCTGAAGAGGAAGGGGAACGAGGGGCAGGGCCTCAGGCATTAGTCACACAGGGAGAATTGCCTTTGGTGGTGAGACAGAGAAGGACTGAGGAAGAGGCGGGCCTCTTCAGAAGCTGCTTGGGAGGAAGGAAGGGAGAGGAGCATCTGGGAATACAGGCGATGGCCCCAGCCATAGGAGGGGTGTGTGGTGGGGAGGCAGGGGTCCTGGAGAGAACTCTCTGCCATCTCTCCTGGGACCAGGCCTAGAGTAGGTTCTAGACAGAGAGCGCTAAAGTGAGGTGACTCAGAATTCAGGTCTGGAATGGAGGGTGCCCTGCAGAGGACCTCCTCCACTTCCTTCCCCACAGAGGGGTGTGAGAACTCACTTCACCTGTGCTGATAGCCACAGCTCCTGTGGCTGAGACAAGAGATGGCGCCTCAGCATGAGGCTCTTGCAGTCTTCTCCCAGGAGAGGAAGAAGGGGCTGGGGAACACAGAGACCAAGGCCAAAGCTTTCAAGTTTGGAAGCATAAAGGAAGCCAAGTGGGGATTTAGATAGTGACTAACACTGGCCTTACTTCCAGAAATGCTGAGCCCTGAAAAATTCCACTGGAGTCAATGGGAGCCGAGGGGACCAGCTGCTCTGCATGACGGGCCTGAATTCAGCTCAAGACGCCTAGCAAAGCCTTCCCCATATGAAAATATTGGTGCCATCTCCTCCGGTCCTGACTGGTCCTTTGCCAACTGCCTGCCACCAGAGGAAACATCCACTGGTGTGCGAGGAAATGAAAAGCAACACAAACGTGGCCTTCTAAAGAGACACCTCCATAGTTAACGTGCGCCTGGCAAAATGAAACTGGAGACGCAAGCTTATGAAGCAGGGAGCCCTGCACTCAAGCCAATCTCATTCGACCTGGGGAGGCACAGATAGGCTATTGCACTGAAATGATCCCAGCACTGGGGAAGATGCCTCTTGCATCTGAAGTCATATTCAAGCCACACGCCTACCGCGCCTCCCTACTACCTTCCCATAACTCACACTGAACCCCATACCTGAGCAAGCCCTCAACAGATGCTTCTCCTCCTCTCTGCTTTTCTGCCTGTCCATCTCCTGGGAGCCTCCTCCCTCACTTGCCATGCTACAGCTCAGAGCTTACAAGTCAAACAGCCTGGAGGAGGAGGTGGACTTGTCCTACTGCTTGCTTCTCCTCCAAAGCCTTGTCCTTAATAATTCTCCATTATACAGCATCTTCCATCTGAAGATCATTAAACTAAATGATTAGGCCGCACAACACTTCTATGGTGAAGGGAGGTAAATGATAAATCCCATGGACTTTCAATGAGATTTGTGCTCCTCTGTAATTTTGGCACTTTTGAAGATGTTTAGTTGGTAACTTTTAATGCACTTAACTCCACTTTGTGTAGCAGCAGAACACACACAAAAAATAAGCTTTTAGGGCTAAATTCTGCCCATAGTCACTGAGACTCCCCATAATCAGTAGCAGAAGTACCACATCTGCCCTTAGCATTTTCACTAGCTGTCAGATCATTTTTGTGGTTCAATTTGTTAATCGTTTCAAAAATATGGACATACAGTATTCCAGCACTGGTCTCACCAATGCCATATACAGAGGCAAAATCACCTCACTGCTGCTACTCACTATGCCTCTTTATACATCCAGGGACTGGATTGGCCATTTTTGCTACAGCATCACACAAGCTCATGTGAAGTTGCTTGTACACCATGACCCCCTAGATCTTTTTCAGGGTCACTGCTTTCCAGGATGCAGTTCCCCCTACAGTTATAGACTCTCTTCCTTGTTCCTAGGTGTATAACTTTTTCAGTCGCTCTGTATGACTGCCCTGTCCTCATCGTTATCTGCTATTCCGCCAATCTTTGTGCTATCTGCAAATTTTATCAGCTGTGATTTTATATTTACTTCCAGGTCACTGATTAAAATACTGAATAGTGTTGGGCCTGCTACCGATCCCTGGGGAACACCACTAGAAACAGTCTCATTTGATAAAGATTCCCATTGACATCTGTCAGCCAGTTCCCAATCCCTTTAACATGTGCTCTATTGATATTGTATCGTGCTATTTCGGTAATCAGAATGCCATGTACTACCAACTCAAATGCCTTACCAAAGCCCAAGTATATTAAATCTTTGCAGTTATTTGTACCAACCAGCCCTGTACCCTCAAAGAACAAAATCAGGTTGGTCTGACAAGACCTGTTTTTCATAAAACCACATTGATTAGGATTAATTACATTTCTGTCCTCAAATTCTTTATCAATTGAATCGCACATCAACTTTTCCATTATTTTGCCTGGGATTGATGTCAGGTTAGTCAACCTATAGTTATCTGGGTCATCCCGTTTTCCAGTTTTGAATACTGACATTAGCACTCTTCCAGTCTTGTGGAATTTCCCTGGCAACCCAACATCCTATGGTTTTGAGCTATTGATAACTCAATTTTGTGTTGCTCTTCTCTCAAATTTTTCCATATCTTTAGTACTGAAGTAGCCAGAACTGACTGATGCCACATCTGTACTGAGTTGGTCTGATACATCCCAGCTCAGGATGAGATCTGTGAATCCAGCCCAAAATTACATTGGCTTTTTGCTGCCCTATTGCACTACAAAACTCATTTAATTTAGTCTCCATTAACATGCCCCAGGTTTTTCTGCATTTACTGTCTCCCAATTCCCTCTCTCCTACTGAGTATTCTGGATTATTTGCTCCTAGTTTTGTTAGCTTCCATTTTTCAAATCAAGTTTAATCTCCCCATGCTTCTAATCTTCCTTGGTCCCTCTTATTTATTGGACTGGTCTTCACAGCTCTTCCCAGATTTAGTGTCATCTGCAAATTTCATTAACATGCTTCTTACTTCCTCCTCCTAGACCATTGTTATTTCTTTGCATTGTGCAGCACCTCAAGGACCCAATCAGAAAGAGGCTCTACTGTGCAAGGTGCTGTATAAATACAGGGAGCATCTCCATCCAGGACATTAATAAGGCCAGACAGTTCCAGGGGTGTCCTGTTATCCTTTGTGATGGACCTTGCTCCAGTAGTTACGATCACATGGATTATTCTTGAATTAAGATTGACGGTATCAAATGCTTTACTAAAATCCAAAGGCAGTACACCAGGAGGCCCAGAGAAATACCTGCTTTCTACACATTCTCCAAGACACGATGTATTAGGTCTCCAGGCCAACTGGAGACCTCCAAGACAAGACTCCCGTTTGAGGACACTAACAGAACCTGAGGTAAAGCTGCAGACGAGTATCCTCAGAGAGTGCTGCAGATGAATGTATGCAGGCAAGCACTCTGCCAAACGACCTGACCCCCTCCCAGCCAAACGCAGCAAAGAAAACTCAGCCTGACCCTCATGAAGCCCCTATGACCCTCGCATCAGTTCCTGACCCCTCCCAGTATCCACGAGTTAATTCCTCTGAAGTGAAGCAGGGTTAATCTCCACAGGGCAATAGGCTAAAAGAATGTAAAGGGATGACTGAGGAGATGGGAGTTGCACGTGGGGGAAGGAGGGCTGCAGTATTCCTTACAAAGAGATTTCATTTCTACTATATTTTGGGTAATACAGGGAGAGAAAAGAGGCAGAAGGTGCTTTACCTGGAGGAAGAGAAGCTGCCCGTGACAGACGGCGAGGAAGGTGGGGTAGGGGAAGCTTCCTTCACAGCAGGAGACACAGAAGGCGGGGTAGAGGAAAGGACACTGGAACTAGAGGGAGCTGCGTCATCGGAATCACCTTAAAGAGAATGAGTCAAACCGTTTGTCTGTGTTCGTCACCTGGGTTCTCCTGCTGGTGAACACCGTGCAGTGCAGTCTCTCTCTTGGTAGATCTCAGTCTTACGCCTAGGCCATTGTCTCTTCCTGCCTCTGTTTCACGGCACCCCCTGGGCCACTCATCTAACTTGTTTCCCCATCTGTCAAATGGAGTTACTGTTCCATTTACTGATCTCACTGATGGTTTGGGAAGCAGAGTCATCTAGGGCGAGATTGTTCCCCCAGCTCATTACAGGAAACACACTGTATGCAGATCTCAACTCCACTGCAGAAGGGAGATGGCCAGCCACTTCCACAGCCCTCCCAGTGCTCTCTGCAGGAGCTAGGATTCTTGTGTAGTAAGGGGGTCGGGCCAGGGAGGGGAAAATGAGGAACATGCATTGTTCCCTCAACCCCGGCAGGGAATCCACACAAAGGTAACATGCTTGTTAGCTTTTCCATGGAACCCCCTCTGCTGAGAACTTCTCTTAAAAGGGGGGAGGAGGCAGTGAAAATGCACAGGAGGGTGGATGGTCCTGTACCACTAGGACAAGGTGGTGTCCACATGGTTTGGGAGCCAACCCCTTGCTTTAATTGAAAGTGTGTGCATGAGTGGGGGGCAAATCCCCCTCTCCTAAAGGGAGGAATTAGGAGGAAACTCCACAAGGGGAGCCCTGTGGAGTCCCCATGCCATCTTCACATTTGTAAAGAGCTTTGAGTCTCTTTGACAGAAGGCTCCACCATGTATAAGAGCAATGTGGTGTTACAACATGCAGCCTGTTCCCAAAGCTCTCTAAGGAATTAGTACAACAGCCAAGAGAGAGAAATTAAGAGGCATGGAGACGAGATGCTTCCATATGAGGCCTCAGATGAGAGGCGTCTGGAAGTAGAGACATGGGAATGCTGTTCCAGATGGGAAGAGATGCAGAGGAGAAGGCTCTAATACACAGAGAACAATGGGTACAGGCGCGCCTTGGAAGGATGTGCAGTAGACAAAAACATCAGGGACTGTGGAGTATGAGAAGGTGTCTTGCCCCGTATCTGAAGGACAGATTTAGGGCACTTGAGTTCTATTCCCAACTCTGATTCCGACTTGTTGTGTGATCCTGGGTAAGTCACCTAATTGCTGGGCCTTTGCACCCCATCTTTCAGGCTGCTCTAATACTTACCTACCTCCAAGGGTGCTGGCAGACTTAAATATGCAACATGGCGGCAGAGCCATGGCAACAGGCATTAATGCAGCCTCCCCATAGCGGGGGCTGTGTGGGGCCCCAGGCCTCCGTGGGGGGACGGGGAGCTGGCCCCAGGCCTCTGCAGGGGCAGGCTTGGGGGGGCAGGGGTGAAACCGCCCCCCAGCACGAACTGGCGGAGCGGAATGGGTTGGGGCCAGGTCACTCCACTTCCTGCCGCCCGCTGAGCGCAGGGCAGGCCCGACCCCACACTCACGGGGCAGTGGGAAGTGGAGCGACCTGGCCCCAGCCCGCTCCGCTCTGCTCCCCGGCTCCCAGCCTCAGGGCTTGAGGGGCGGGGGGGGGAACCGCCCCCAGCACTCGCTGGCAGCGCAGAGCGGGCTGGGGCCAGGTCGCTCCGCTTACCACCATTGGTGAGTGCAGGGAGCCCAACCCCTGCTGCAGTCCTCAGGGGAAGGGCTGGAGTGAGGGCAGGGCTGGGGTGGAGCAGGGGCAGGAAGAGGTGGGGTGGGGGTGGAGCAGGGACGGAGCCATGGGGAAAAGGCAGAGCAGGGGCTGGAGCAGTGTGCAGCTGCTTGCTTTGTGTATGGGCGGCCCTGGCAGCGTTGTCATAGCCATGCTGGTCCTTAGGTATTAAAGAGACAAGGTGGGGGAGGGAATGTATTTTATTGGACCAATATCTGTGGGTGAAAGAGCAGCTTTGGAGCTACACAGAGCTCTTCTTCAGGTCTGGGAAACATATTTCCAGCCTCACAACTAAATGCAAGGTGAAACGGATTGTTTAGAATCGATAGCACATATTGCAAGGGACCATTCCAGGTGGAGTGGCCTGTTAACACCTCTGCAATCATAGGACAAAAAACAGGAGGGTTAGTGTCCAGTGTGTCTGTTCAGTCCATCATTTTTAGGCTTTGTCTACACTAGCACTTTTGTCCATCAGGGGTTTGAAGCCCCCCCCCCCCCCCCCCCACTGCCCCCAACTGACATAACTTGTACCAACAAAAATGCCAGCGTGGACAGCGCTTCACTGGCGGGAAACGCTCTCCGAATGACAAAGCTACTGCCCTTCGTTGGGGGTGGTTTTATTTTGTTGCCGGGAGAGCTCTCTCCCGGCAACAAAGAGCAGCTACACGTTGAACCTTACACCGATGCAGGTGTAGCCGCACAGCTGCGCTGTTGTAAGGTGCGCAGCGTAGGCAGCCATAGTGTCTGTGTAGCACAGTTATGAATTTAAGCTCCCAGGCTCGTCTTCTGAAAGTGTTGTGCAGGTTTCCTTTGAGGATGAGGACTGAGAGGTCAGAGTGATCGCTCTGCGAGACGAGTTCACCCACCGGTGATGTGGTATTTTTGTCTTTTATCGCTTTCCTTTGCGAGTTCATTTGACAGTGCAGTGATTGTCTGGTTTCACCCACAGAGTTACTGGGGCATTCAGTGAGGTGGATGAGGTACACCACCAACCCCTCCCACCCCCCCACCACCCCCGCTTTTTGTCCTATGACAGCAGAGGTGTTAGCAGGTCATTTCACCTTAAATGGTCCCTTACAATATATGCTAACTGCCTACGCTAAACAATCTGTTACACCTTGTATTTAGCTGTGACACCTTTCCCAGACCCGAGGGTGTGGCTCAAAAGCTTGCTGTCTCTCACCACCAGAAGTTGGTGCAATACAAGATATTACCACACTCCATTTAATGGCATTTCTCTGGATGTAATGCAACAACTTTGATCAGATGTGGCATTTAAATTCCAAAATTTCAAGGCATATTCTAAGTATCAGTGGGATGAAGCCTATTGATTCTGGTGAAAATCAGAAAGCCAAAATGGGAGAAATGGCACAGGGTCCCCCTGGTATCTGGTTAGCAAAGCTAGCAGGTTCAGACACCTCTGAAAGTGCTGGCTAAGGGCAGCCACTAGCATGTTTCAGCACAATACCCTTTATCTCCAACCAGCCCATCTTCCCCAGACAGTTTAAAAATACTGACCCCCTGAAAGAGAAGAGGAGAAACAAGAAGAATGTGGGGAGGTGCAGACAGAGCCTCAGGCATGGGAGAAAGGGGAACACAGAATCCCTGGTGGGGGTAGTGGGGGGACGGGACGACAGTGCGGGATCCTGGTATGGAGCATAGGGGTCAACCCCTGGCATATATGCATGTGAGAAATGGGGGCACAGAGATCGCCTGGCATGAGGGCGTGGGAGGGCTGCAGGGAGTCTCTGAAACAGGGGGATGGGAAGTTGCCACCCAGGGAGTTTGTGGGAGGTGGGAATGGAGGGATACAGGAGCCCTGGGGTGTGCTATAAGCTTGGCCTACAGCACCAACAAAGCATGCAGAGCTCTAGTTAAGGTTGCAAGACAGTTTCCCATGTTAACATGTGCAGAATTTGCCAGACGTCCACATTTTGGGGTAAAATCTCTCTGACTTGGGCCCTGCCTACATAGAAGTTGCATCAGTTTAGCATATAGCACTTTAGAAAACAGATTTAGTTAAGCCAGTGCAAACCCCTGGCTAGGACACTTATTAGGTCATGTCTACACTAGCGAGCTTACATTGGCACAGCTGTATCGATGCAGCTGCCCCCACTGTAAGATTGCTGCTCATGTAGCCGCTCTATGCTGGCAGGAGAGAGCTCTCCCATCATCATAAAACCAACGGGCAGTAGCAGCTCTCCTGCCAACATAGCGTGCGCACACTACCGCTTATGCCAGCAAAACTTATGTCGCTCAGGGGTGTGTTTTTTCATAACCTCGAGTGACATAACTTTTGTTGGCATATGTGGTAATGTAGATAAGGCCTTCGTTTAAAACTGGTTCTTTCTGTATATTTGTCAGTATGAGCCAGGTTTAACAATCAGCATAACATACCCACAATGGTGCTGGTTTAAAACCATCCCTTTAATAAAACCCACCCTCCCCACAGGTTTAAAGTTTGAATACAATTCTTCAAGCCATTTGAGTCATGGGTGAGGGGTAAAACAGTCCTTCCCAGCATGACAAACCTTAACCTGCCTTTTTTGAACTGGGTTATTTATATTGCAACTGACTATGGTAGGAAAGCTGGCGTCAACTGTCACTGATTTGCACAGTTTGGGCAAAAAAATTTAACGAAAAGAAAAATCACTCCACATGCTCTGTGGTCAATTACTAAGGCTGTGTCTGTGCTAGGGATGTGCACAAGCACAAGCCCCAGTTCAAGGCCTGGCTGCAGACAACAGAAATCCCTATAGTAAACCTGGCCTAAGATATTCAGCAGAGCCTTCTGAAATCCCAGTATAGTCTCTTTGCCAAAGTTTAACACTCTAGGGTGAAGGCTCCAGGACACTTAGCAAATGAGAAACTAATTGTTTCACTGGCAAACCCCCAAAACTCACCCAAAAAGCCTTAATGTCAGAATCAAGAAAATCCCGGCAGATCCTGGCTGCCATGTTGTCTGGTCATTTTGTTAAGAACATTTTAGAGCTGAGTGTTTTTCCCTGCTATGAAGAAATATGCAATGCAAACTAATGTGCTGCTGGAACCACCACTGAAAAGCTGTCTCCAGCTGATCCCCTTCTCAAGCACCTGCCTGGGGCTGGAACTTTGAAGCCCAAGTAAGAGCTGGTCTCTACACAAACATGCACCAAACTCACTTCTATTTCATACCTGATATTTCAGAACAAGTCTATGGGCAAGTCTACACTACAAAATTAAGTTGACCTAAATTACGTTGACATAGAGCCACTGTCGCAGTTGAATTGGTTGTACACGTCCACACTACACTCCTTGTGTTGGCAGTGTGCGTCCTAACCAGCACTTG